AAGAGTTTTCTTGATACATTCTACCAAGTTTCGGTTTCTTGGAATGTTTCATTCTCCGATTTGCAAGTCGACTCTATGTACCTATGTGTGCATGTACAAGTATACTTTCATATATATATACGTAAATGAATATATACATTTAACACAGTTAGTGAAACATACACAGAACATTGCTTTCAAAAATTTGAAAAAATGAAAAATAAAGTCTCGAATGATATGTTTGTTAAAATTCAGTTAATATTTAAATTGATAAGAAAATTGATAATATTATTAACAAATTACATTTGTAATAATAATTTATACATTGTAATAAATACAAACAATGCTAACATAATATTTTTCTTATAAACAATTTGATCTTAAATTTCATTTCAATCAAAAGAATAAAATATAAATTAGGTCTTTTATTACATCCATTAGAGTTCATTTTCGATAAGCAATGACGATATTATTTTATAACTACGTCAATATATACTATATATATAGTCTGTGTATTATATAATATTTTGATATTATACCAATAAAAGAAGATTTTATATTCTCATGTATGATTTGGCGCAGAATTCAGTTTTCGATATAGAAAAATAAAGTAAATGGAGACATAACCGTCGTCTTTTTAAAGGCAAACACACGAAGCTGTTTCTCTCTCTCTCTCTCTCTCTCTTTCTCTCTTCCTCTCCCTCTCCCTTTTTCTGTTCCTTCTACAATCTTTCGTTCGCTTTCTACCCTTTTATCTATCAATATTGTTAATCCATTTCTTAGTTTTTGGCACAAACTCAGAAGGAAGATTGTTCCGATCAACAAAGTAATTCAGTCGTCAGAGATATTTTCCTATCTTGGCTCTTTAGTTTGATTTTTCTCGGTTATTTAACAAAAGAAAAAAAAGTAAAAAAAAAGGAACATAGAATAGCAAGAAAAAAAAAACAAAAAACTATGAGAGAAAATGAGACGAATGCAAAGTATCAGGAATAAGATAAATAAGTAATGAGATACGAATAGAACACTTGGAAATTTAAATCAGAAAATAGTAAATTATTGAGTAAGTTTAGGGAGTAATAAAACCAAAGGAACCATTCGTGGATGACACCAGCAGGTATTGGTGAAATTCTCAAACCTTTCTACATCTGCAGAGAATAATTAAAATGCCGTCTGTGGTCTACAGTAGGCTATGGAGGACTTTTTTTGATGAAACTTATAGTTGGTAGTAGACTGTGGAGGGATGCAAAATAAAATCTGCGGTAGAGATATTATTATATATATAATATTTAATATATTTTAAAGACTTTAAACTACTTTATACTGTATATATAATTAATAAACGCTGTTTAATGATACCAATTATGTATAGAAACGAGTAGAACAGCCGACAAATGGAAGAAAACAATAGTAAAACACAGTAAAATTAGGCTTACTTTGAAGACTAATTATACCCACAAAAAATTTCCGTTGGTGGGCCTTACTACTATTGGTAGATTCCTCGAACATTTCTACGTTTGCAGATAATATTTATAATAATATCAGTAGCCTACAGTAGGCTGTGGAAGACTTTATTTGATGCCACTTATAGTTGGCAGTAAGTTGTGGGGGATGCATTCATTCATGCCACTTATACGCAATGGTAGACTATGAGGGATGTAAAATAAATTGAACAAAATAGAATTTGTTATTTACATATTATTATTATTATTATTATTTTTATTATTATTATTATTATCATTATTATTATCATTATTATTATCGTTACATTTTATCTTAAATCCTTTGGGACTATTACAAGTGGATTTGTTGGATCTTGTAAAAGGATTTTGTGTAAGGAATATAAGTATTAGGGTAGGATATTTCAAAGAAAAATACTTCTTTTTGATCCATTCGCGTTTCTCACGTAGGATATATTTTTCAAAAGATATGGTTATCCGTTCGATACATGCTACGACTCCTTCTTGAAAAAGATCGTGCTTTGGAAACGAAACTATGTGTGTATGTTTTTATATAGAAAAAAAAGAAAAGAAAAAAAAAAACAAGAAAAAAGTGGAAGAATAAAAGTGTATATGAGAGTGAATGAGAGAGAGAGAGAGTGAGTGAGAATGAAGGAAAGAACGAACAGGGACGACAATAAAGCTTCTACTTAAGTGTCGCTTCGTGCTTATCCGAAAAAAAGTTTCGTAGAAAGGAAAACTAGTTTTCTCTTTTCGTTTAGTCGTCGCCCGTCCGAAGTAAATCCTATCAGGGTAGACGAACGTTAATGTAGAAGACGGAAAAATCAATACGACGCGTCGTTTGTAAGGATCACTAAGGGCCACAAAGTTAAAGAGAAATCTCCCGATGTCATCTTTGAAAAAGTATGATTTGGGTGTTTGGGTGAAAAACTGGATATAATGGGGAAACATAGTTAAAAGTTTCATTCATTTTTGGTGACATTAGTCCAACCTTTGTCAGATTTAATTATATATGTAATATAAAAATGATATATATTATATAACTAATCCGTGAACACATTAGTTATAGGAGGATTATAACCAAAAGTTTTTTATATAAGCTGAAAGTTTGTGATTTTGTAATATATATATATAGGTTTTTTTATTTTTTTAACATTTATTTTATTAAATAAATTTTTTATTTATTTTATTAATTAAATTTTGATTTTTTATTAATTTTTTTTTTTATTAATTTGGGTGGTCAGGTGTTCGTTATATATATAATATTTCTATATATTATATAATTAATTCGTGAATACATTAGTTATAGGAGGGTTAACCAAAAGTTTTTATATAAGCTGAAAGTTTGTGGTTTCGTAATAAGTATAGGTTTATTATATCGATAATTAACTTGTGAAAATTAATTATATAAGGTTGTGGTCAAAAGTTCGTAGATTTGGGAAAAATTAGTCTCTTAAATAAAGAAAATCAATTTTTTAATATTATCTAAGAATTTTTTTTAATTAATTCCGTATAATGTTAATATATAACATGTAGTAGTTTCTTGTTTAATTAAATTTTTACGGAAATTGATTTTTCATAGATAAAAAAAAAACAAATGTAAAATCTATGATTATGATCGATGATCAAATTATTATTATCTGTGTCAAGATTAAATAGGTTTGTTAATTCATAACGAAAGTTCTTGAAGAAAATCCATTTCTAATTCGTTTACTTTTATTTTTTTTTTTTTTTTTGTAATACTTGACTTCTTGTTCTTTTTGTTAAAACGCTCTAGAGAAAGGGACGTTATCATTGCTAATGATCAAGAAGAGAAGAAAACTTTCAAACATAATTATCTTAAGTAGTTGTTGGAATTTTCATTTAATACGAAGTAGTAGTAATAGATAGTGTTATTAAAAAATTCTTTTCAGTAACTAATTGTTAATTAGTATTGCTATGAATTTAATTTAATTAATAAATCTTGTAAAAGCCATGAATTGATAAAAAAAAAAAATGTATTAAATAAAAATTGTGTTTCACATAGATTATAGTCTTTTGTCGACAAATTTAGGTCATACTCAGTCTACGGTGAATTTTTATAAAAAAAAAAAAAAAAAACAAAAAAACAAAAAACAAAAAAAAAGTTACAAAATGTTTCGAGTTTTCTAAATTATTCTTTTTTACCGACGAATAAAAAATCAATTATTCACTTTTTGAATTTCTACCATTTGAAAAGCATCCGCTACGTTTATCACGCTTGACGTTAACAAATACAAAAAAATAGAAAAAAAAAACAAGAAAAAAGAAAAAAATCATAGTAATGTTCACTTTGCAACGTAAAAATCAAATCAACCAGTTCGAATAAGCGTGTAAATTTTTAAAAAACGCCCAACGCGTGATAAAAATACAAGTGTTTACAACTGGTGTACATATATGGAGAAAGAAAAACAACACACATACATACACATATACATAGATAGATATACGTAGGAAATAAAAGTATCTTCTAATTTTACGTGTTTATCAATTCATAGAATTTTTGATGACGCGTATTCAAGGATATTATCGATGTAAACACCAGGTATACACGGTATAAATCATTTCAAGTTCAACGCTCGACGTTAACGAACGTGTTTTTGCATTGCTCTGGGATTTTTCATTTAAAGAGGTTGGATTTTGAATTGGATTTAACAAATTCGTCGTTTTAATTAACACATGTATGTATACACGTTGATTAATAACTATCTGTTAATTAATATTTTAAATATAATTAATCATTATAATAGACTGTGAAAGAAGATTGATTGGTTTAATAAAATTTAGTGTCACATTATTGGTTTTCAATGAATTTCAAAACTATTGAACCGATCTTAATGAAATTTTTTGTATTTTGTGTGTTCTTTTTTTTCAACTTAGTGCATAGGATAATTTTTATCGCGTTTATTTTTTACTTTTTATCGTTAATAGGATTTTTTATTTAAAGAGTTATGTAATTCTCTAGGTATTTTATGTTTTTAATAGATGGTGTTGTATTACAACTCAATTATTAGATAAATTAACCTTGCTTGTTATATTTTTTTTAGTGTATTATTATTTTATGTATTTTATTGTAATTGTGATATTATTTTGTGTGTGTTGTTATTTATATATTATATATTATATATTTTTTATATTATATATTATATATATTAACAATTTATGTTGTTTTATGCCTAATTTGAATTCCCAGAAATTATTAGTTAAAATTAATTTAATTACATTAAACAGTTTAGAATTATATTAAATCAACAAAACTACAGCAATGCGTTGCCGAAGCATCCTAAATAAATATGTAGTATAATATTATAATTAAAAATTTTATTATAGAAACTTAAATACGTCGATACAATTATTATTCATCTCAGAAAATTCTTTTACGAACATTTCATTGTTAGAACAAATACTTGAACGAAAAAATTGGTAAACCTAACAAAATATTATCAATTGCATCATATAAAAAAATGAATTATAACGATCAATGTCGTCATATGCGATATAAATGTATTTCAAAAAATATAAAAAAGAATTGAAATATAAACTGACCTTTCCGTAAACGCCGGCGCTGGAGAGTTCATTCTCGATGACCATGACAATGATCCCGAACATTCCCATAACTAATGCATAATCGCTGATGCGTTTGCGTTTCTCGAAAAGTGCCTTCCGCCTTCCGAGACGATAACCAACGTTGGGTTTGTGTTTGGAGCCAGGTCCGATACTACCGGATGGTCCTTTCATAGGGCCACCAGCACCCAGTACCCTATCGTCAACGTAACGCGGATACTCGCTGTGGACGCCAACGAGTGCGATTCCTGCATCCTCGCCAGCATTCGCAGCTCCTGCACTTCCGCAACCGGTACCACCGATACCCCCTCCTGCTCCACCACTGCTACCAACTCCACTTCCAACACCTCCACCACCACCACCACCACTTCCACCGCTGTTCTTCATCGCTCCCGGAATCGAGAGTGTCGATACTGGCTTCCGCAACTGTAACAATTTATCGTTCTATTGTTAACAATTAATTTCCTCTATATTTTTTGTCTTTTCGTTTTTTCATTCTTTCTTTTTTTGTTTTTTATTTGAGTTTTTGATATAGAATAGATTCTCGTATAACACGTTGTTGACCATCTATAACTATTTTGTAAAATCGTATTTTATTTTATATATATTATAATAATTACGTATAATATATTTTATTAATAATATAGTATTATTATTAATAATTGGCATTAGGAACTCGAAAGTTAATAATTTAATAAACTATAATTAGAATAATGTAATTTAAATAAAAAATAAATAAAATATATTATTATAATTATAATTTATTAAGTTACATTAATAATATTATTATAGTATATTATAATAATATATTATAATTTATTAATGAAATATAAGTTATATTTTATTTTATAATTATTATATATTATATTTTTGATATTGATTTATGATACTTTGATGATTTTTTAAGCATGCACATGTATTTATATATATATAATAATTTAAGAGTGTAATATTATACTAATACTAATACTAGTGCAATAATCACAGTACACTTTTTGTTTCTACAACAGGAATAATATCAAAATTATAGTGTATATCACAAATAACAATTGTGACGACAAAGATAAAAAATCTAATTAATTTCAACAGGTGTGATCTAAGACATTGAAACACATATACAACTGGTGCATTATTTTCTATTATTTTTGTTGATCAAATACAAGACATTTTAAGTGTAAAGTAATTAACAATTGTATTCGATAAAAAATATCTGTTTGACAAATGAAATAAAAAATAACATTTCGTGTATCAAATTATCCTGAAATCACGAAATGTGGAGTAGTTTGTTCAACATTTATTACCTTTAACACGAAACTTACGAGAGAGTATTCATTTTCTAGTTTAAAGTGAGAGAGTAACCCGAAAAACGAGAAAGCATATAGAAAGGGTCGAGAAGTATTATATTTAGGTATATATATATATATATCAATGGAAACCAAGTATCGGTGTTACTAATTATCGAGTAATGTAACTCGGTTGATATGGTTTTAATTGGTTATTTAAAAATATGTTTCATTAATTATTAGGAAGTTTATATTAAAAAAAAAAAAATTACATAATTACAAAATACACTTAATAAATTTATATGGAATATCGTATTTAATTATTTGTTAATTTACCACGATATTTTATAATCAAATTATATTCTAATAATATCAATAATATCACATAATCAAATTATATATTGTAATAATAAATATAATATTTTTATAATAATTATTGAATTGCGCTTTTTTTCTAAATTAACGGTATATTTAATTATGTTATTTTTTTTATTTATAATATCACTTTTTATACGTTCATTTATTAATATAAAATGGTTCAATAATTATTATCAGTATAATATTTGTAAAATTGGAAGATTTAAAAAGGTATTTAAAAAAATATTATGGAATATCGGATTAAGTTATTTTAAGAACTTAATATGATACGACTTTATATTATTTTTCATTGAAAATATATTTTATTCTATTTTTAATAACTATAAAGTTTGTTCAGAAATATACTTGCTATATTTAATTATTTAATTTTTTATTTATAATATATTTTTATTAACTACCAAGTTTCTTCATAAATACTTAATAAATTTAATTATTTAATTTTTTATT